CCTTTAATCTTTTCATAATCAGTTCTGTATTCCCTCTATAGTAGGCAGCCTCTAAAATGGATCCCAGTGATCCCTGCCTCCTGGTATTTGTGCCCTTGTGTAATGCCATTCCCCTCAAGGTGAGCTGGACTTACTGACATGCTTCAGTTAATAGAACATGAAAAAAGAAGTGATGAGCCATCATTTCCAAGATTAGTTTATGAAAGGGCTGGTTTCTATCTCGGGTTCTCTCTCTCACTCTTTCTTGCTTACTCTGGGGTAAGTCAGATGGTATGTCACGAGGTAGACCTGTGGAAAGGCCCCCATGAGTGAGCCTGGAAACAAATTTTCTGAGATCTGCCAACAGCCACATGAGTGGGCTTGGAAGCAGATCCTCCTTAAGTCAAATCTTGAGATTACCACAGTCCTGGATGAATCTTTGATTGCAGCCTTGTATGAAACACTAAGTCTGAACCACCCACTAAACTACTCCTGTATTCCTCACCTGCAGAACTGTATTGTTTTCAGCCGCTAAGTTTTAATGTAATTGGTTACACAGACATAGATGACTAATACATCCCAAATAGTAGTGGTTGTTCTCCTTTATGTCATTTCCAATTTCTATGTGTTTTTTTCCAGCACAGCACAGAAGACAATTGAAGAGTGCCATATAAGTGAGGGAAAACAGATATTATTCTTGATTTATAAACAGTTTTTGAATTAACATTTTAAAGAGAGAGAAAACTTGAAGATGTTTGAATTAGCTCAACTTTTGTATGTCGTAATTAGTCACATATCATTCCTTTGAATATTTAACTACTTCAGCAAAAAGTTAATCCCCCCACCACATGATGAAACAATATGACCCCCTCCATAATACAAAAACACAGCAAAGTCAAAGAAGAAAATTGACTGACTTAATAAACTATTTTGAAATTGCTGGGAATGAAAAAAGGTAGGTGGCTTCTGCGGTGCAATGAATTACTTAATATGGCCTTTGTAGCCATGGTCTTTGTGACTCACATACAATGATTGAGTGAGACTATGCAAATAATATGGAACCTGTGATGGTTGGGGTTATGTGTTGACCTGGCTGGGCCATAATTCCCAATATTATGTGGTTGTCCTCCAATTTATGTGTGGTGGGTCCTGACCTCTGCATGCTTATGAGGCAGAACTGGTGTAACGTGTGTCTTGGGTCGCAGCCTTGCAGGAGGGCATGACTCAAGCCCCACCATCACTAAAATTACACCCTTTCCTGGGGTTTGGCCTGCATGTAAGATACATGTGTGTGTCCTGGCGAGGCTCTCTCTCTCTGCATCTAGATCCCATGTCCAATTCGTGATCAACTGACCTCCCCAGAGGCCTGCTATCTGACATGCCAATTCTGGGATTCGCTGGCCTCCACAGCCCCTTGGGCCAGCAGCCTGTCATGTGACCCGAGTCGCCAGCTTCCACAGCTTCGTGAGCCAGGAGCCTGTGGTCAAAACTGCTGGTTTAGGTTCATCAGCTCCTGCAGTCACATAGGTTGGGAGAAGCCTACACCTCACCCATGAATTTGGGACTTGCCAGCCTCCACAACCACGAGCCATTTCCTTTACGTGCTTCGTGAGTTCTGTGAGACGTTGCTGAAAATTAGGGAACCCAAAGACGGGAGGGAAAGTACTGAGGGGAGAGGGAGTAGTTGATGTTAGAGATGAAGGAGTGGTACAGCAGCTTGGAAAAGTTGGACATTTGGGACTTCTTTAACCCCCGCCTCATAGGAACCAGCTTGTGCTAATCCTTATAAAAGAAATCATTCGTTTAGCTTGTGATGGACTGGGAGTGAGAGAACAATGGCAGTGAGGTAGTGGCAAATAAATAGGTCAGAAGAGAAGATGGCCATGATCCAAGGAGCTGTTTATAAATTTCCTTTCTCACATATTGCCCTGCGTTGCATATTGTCCAACAATAGCCACTGAGAGGTAGGAAAACAACATAACCCACCCAACAGTAAACAAAAGCATCACTTCAGTCCAACTTCAGAGGAGAGCTGAAATATCATCTACCAGCAGACTGCCTGAATTCAAGCAGTCCTTCCGTCGCCCATGCTAGCTATTGATCTAAACCATTTCTTAGGGCATAGGTGACAAATGGATTATAAGAAAGCTCAGACTTTTACCAAACTTTGGCAGGCCCCCTTTTCATCTACTCTCCAAAAGAGGATATAAAGTTCTCTTTTAATTGGTATAAAATACCAGCCAAATTAACTGATATCCCAAGGAATCTCATAAGAAAAGAAAAAAATGATACATCCGGTGACTTCAAGCACTATAAAAGACAACAAACAGGGTTCCAAATCCACCCTTCCTACTCTGGTATAAGATTCTGGGGTTATGATTCTGTGAACTACCTTTCTCATATTCATTTTTATCACCAAACTTCCTGAAGTGGTAGAATATTAGAAGCTAGTTGGTGGGGACAAGGGGGTCTCTTCTTCCCACTTGATGTTTTGGACAGCAATGCCCACAATGCAACATTTTGCCTTTAAAGCATAAGTTCATTCCACGATTTGCACTTTACTCCAAGAGCAATAGTTTCTCGACTCTCGCATTTTTTGTGCTGTCAGAAGCAGCCTAATCAAGGCCTTTTGAAAGCAGCATAAGCAGGAGGAAGTGCTCCTTTCTTCAGAGGTCTAAATAGCAAATTGGCAGGTCTCTCTTACAACCTTTTTAGTTTTGGCAACAGCAAACTCTTCCTCAGTCCTAGAGTGGTAGCTGCTTCCTGTTGTTATTGTGTCTCTGTTTAACTCACTATTCCCTTTTGGCTTTCTTAGACTTCATATACCTATGTAATTACCATATTTTTATGCAAATAACATGTGCCTTCTACATTTGTTTGCCAACCATTCCCTCCCCCTAGAAGGTATTTTCATAAGTGCATTATGCTAAAAAAAAAAAAAAAAAAAAAAAACTGGGATAGCAGTGTTTATGAAAATACGTCCCAGGGTGGAGGGAGCAACTGGCAAACAAACGTAGAAGGTGCGTGTTATTTGAGTACAAATACTGTAACCAATTATCTGTTCTAAATCTCTTCACCTTAAATACCTAGTGTAGACTCTGTTTTCCTAACTTGCCCTAAGCGAAAGTTCTATGAAAAAAATAAACTGAAAAGCATATAACACAATGAATCAGAATTAATTCACCAGAGTGGGAGGGGGACAGAAAATTAAATTAAGCATAAAAAATTTGCAAAAACAAAAACAAAAAAGGATGTTGAACACATGAAGTAATATCAAGCACTTACTAAGAAGAACCAGTTGGACAAGAGATGAAATATGAAAAGATAAAGGATCTCAAACTGAAAAGCATCAAGGAGTGCCAAAAGAAATAATAATTAAAAAAAAAAAACACACACATAGGCACATTAAAGTGAAATTCAATTTCTATCAAAGAGGTAGAAAAAAGAATCAGTCTCCAGCAGAAGAAATGAAATCACTGACAAAAGAAAAACAATCATCATAATCATAAAGAGACAGGCATCTAACTAGAAGATCCTGGATATAAGAACACATTAAAGTAATATTCTGGAAGTATAAAAGGAAAAGTATAGGAATATACATTTTCATATCCAAAAATAAAGGCTAGTTTTTTATATGTGAGGGTGAAATGAAGTTATTCTAGACACACAAGAACTCAGGGAAAAAACCCACTTTGAAAACACTGTAATGAAATAAATAAACAAGCAAACCCAGAATGGCCTTTCATGTAGAGGACAGAGGGTGAAGTTTACATAAAAGAAAATAAGGATCAAAGAAAAGAAGTGACAAGAAAGAAAAGGCATGCTAAACTACTTATTTTCTCCAGAAAGCTATATAAGTGGGTGCGTGTGTGTGTATGTTGGAGAAAACATAAGAAACTACGAAAATAAAAAATGGTAAATAAAGAATAATAAAACGAACGTATAATTTCGAAACCAACATAAGAAAATAAGATGTACTCAACGTTGTTGTTGTTGTTAGGTGCCATTGAGTCGGTTCTGACTCATAGTAGCCTTACGAACAAAAGAATGAAACACTGCCCAGTCCTGCACTATTCTCACAATTGTTGTCATGCTTGAGCCCATTATTGTAGCCACTGTGTCATTCCATCTCGTTGAAGATCTTACTCTTTTTTGCTGACCCTCTACTCTATCAAACATGATGTTCTTCTCCAGGGACTGGTCCCTCCTGATAACAGGTCTTAGTTCCAAAGGGAGGAAGGCTCCCACGAGGAGACACAACACTAATTTTATTGAACTGGAAATTAAGAATGCTACTTGGCCGCTTTGAGCTCCTCATGCCTCTGGATAAACAGACAAAGAAGGGAGTTTACCATATTGGCTAGTGTGATTGATCTGATTACCAAGAGGAAATCAAATTGATATTACATAATGGAGGTAAAGAACAGGATGTCTGGAATACAGGGGACCCCTTAGGGTGTCTCTTAGTGCTACCATGCCCTGTGATTAAAGTCAATGGAAAACTACAGTAACTCAATTCCGACCTGACTACTAATTACCCAGACACTTTAGGACTGAAGGTTTGGGCCACCCCACGAGGCAAAGAACCATGATTAGCTGAGGTGCTTCCTGAGGGCAAAAGGAATATGGAATGGATGGTGGAAGAAGGTAGTTCTAAATACCAGTTATGACCACATGACCAGTTGCAGAAACAAGGACTGTAATTGTTTTTAGCATCTCTTCCTTATTTTGTTATATGAGTGTGTATATATATGTATGTATACATACACATGTATACATACACATATATGTACACATATATGTATACATATGTATGTATATATGTATGTGTGTGTGTATATACATATCTACCCCAAACTAAACTCATTGCTGTCAAGTCAATTCTGACTCATAGCAACCCTATAAGATAGGGTAGAACTGTCCCATAGGGTTCCAAGGAGAGGCTGGTGGATTCGAACTGCTGACCTTTTGGTTAACTGCTATTGCCCACTGTAACTCTTAACCACTGCGCTACAAGGGCTCCAAATATGTAACGCTATACGAATCTGTGTGTCATCCTTGTGCAGAGGCCATGTTAATCTTCTCTGTATCGTTCTAATTTTAGCATATGTGCTCCCAAAGGGAGCACTGTTATAGAAGATGTCAATAGGACTAGTGTGTTTTCAGTTGTACATATGTTAGCTGCATCATGTTAGGCACAAGTATGACTTTATAATTGTCTTTATTTAGAGATTATGTATGGTTTAAGGAGATGTGTATGGGTGCCAAGATGACAAAGAGTGAACTGTGATGGTTAAGGTTACATGTCAACATGACTAGGCCATGATTCTCAGTGGTTTAGCAGATATTATGTAATCATCCTCCATTATGTGATCTGATGTGAGCAGCCAATCAGTTGAAAGGGGAGCTTCCTTGGGGGTATGGCCTGCATCCAATATATATAGATGTTCTGGTAAAGCTCACCCTCGCTGGATCCTGTATCTGACTTGTCATCCCCTGACCTCTGGTTCTTGGGATGTCAGCCAGCAGCCTACCATCTGACCTGCTGAGTTTGGGTTTATCAGCCCCTGCAACCACGTGAGTCAGAGGAAGACTCCCACTTGATATCTGATCCATGGATTGGGGACTTGCCAGCCTCCACAACTGTATGAGCCATTTCCTTGAAATATAGATCTGTGTGTGTATGTATATATATACATATATGTATAGAGAGTAGCAAAACCAGTGAAGTGTTTTTACACTTCGTTAAACACTTAACGAACACTTCACTGGTTTTGCTACTCTAGAGAACTCAGCCTAAGACAGATACTACGAGACACTGGATGCCAAAAAATTATATAACCTAGATGGAGTAGGCAAATTACTAGAAACACATAAACTACCTAAATTGACTCAAAGAGAAATAAAACATCTCAACAGGCCTATAAGAAGGAGATTGAATCAGTAATAAAATAACCTCCCAACCAAAAAAAATTTCTGCACCAGATGGCTTCACTGGAGAAATCCACCAAACATTTAAAGAATTAACCCAATCTTTCTTAAGCTCTTCCAAAAATACAAGAAAACACTTCCTAACTTGTTCTATGCAGTTAGCATCTCCCTGATTTTCCAAAGACACCACAAGAAAACTACAGACCAATATTACTTATGAATATAGATGTAAAAACCCTCAGCAATACTAGAAAACCGAATCCAAAAACATATTAGAAGGACTACATACCATGACCAAGTGGGATTTATTCCAGGAATGCAACGGTAGTTCAACATCAGAAAATCAATCAAGATAGCACACCACATTAATAGGACAAAGGAAAAGAACTACATGATCATCTCAATCAATGCACAAAAGGCATTTGAAAAAAATCCAAAACCCTCTTATGACAAAAACAGTTAACAAACTAAGAATAGAAGAGAAATTCCTCAATCTAATAAAGGGTATTTATGAAAAACTCACAGCTAACATCATACTTAATAAAGAAATACTGACACTTTTCCCCTTAAGATCATGAACAAGATAAGGATGCCCACTCTCACCACTACTATTCAGTACAGTCACATGTCGCTTAATATCCATGATACATTCTGTGAAATAGGACATTATGTTGTTTTTGATGTTGTGTAAACATGCCTAAATCACGAGCAATAGTGTTAATTACTTTCCACATTTGTGTTGTTTACTAACCTTTTGTTTCACTTCCAAATTGATACTTCTCCTTTGCCTCTTGCTGCTATCACTAGCACTGGTTTTGCTGTGTTCAGGAGCCATGATGTACTTCATGGTAATATTTTTGAAAGAAAATTAAACAGAGAGATAACAGTGCAACACTCAAGAGACGCGCAATACGCGAGATTGGATGCTGCTGCCTACGAGTCAAATCATACGCTGTTATATGGTAAACTCTTTATTTGTAAATAGGGAAAGTTCACATTAAAATAACAATAGAACGAACATTACAGTACATACATAAGCCAGTAACATAGGCATTTATTATAACTATCAAGACATATGCATTACAGGTTATATATGTACTGTACCACTGTATGCCTGATAGTGCAATTGCTTTGTATACAAGAGACATGAGATAGACGTGTTGTGTTCAGGAAGCTTTTGAGTTTGCTATGTCTGGTTACATCTGCTATGTCCCATTCTCCAGTCGGGATTTCTGAACTCTATTATAACCTTATGGGACCATGGACGTATCTGCAGTCAGACATTGCCTGAACAGACGTTATGCAGTGCATGACCATATTGTACTGGAAGTCCTAGCCAGAGCAATTAGGCAAGGAAATGAAATAAAAGTCATCCAAATTCCAAAGAAGTAAAATTATTCCTCTTTGCCTATGACATGATCCTTTATATAGAAGACCCCAAAGAACCCACAAGAAAGCTATTAGAGCTAATAAATCAATTCAGCAAAGTGGCAGGATATAAGATCAATACACAAAAATCAGTAGAATTTTTATACACCAGCAACAAGTAATCTGAAAAGGAAATTAAGAAAATAATTCCATTTTTAATCACATCTAAAAATAATAAAAAGCTAAGAATTAACTGAACCAAAAAACTATAAAACACTACTGAAAGAAATTAAAGGTGACCTAAACAAATGGAAGGGGCCCTGTTGGTGCAGTGGTTAAGTACTTGGCTGCTAACCGAGAGTCGGTGGTTCAAACCCACCAGCTGTTCCACTGGAGAAAGATGTGGCAGTCTGCTTCCTTAAAGATTATAACCCGGAAATCCTACGAGTAGTTCTACTCTGTCCTGTAGGGTTGCTATAAGTCGGCATACTCAACGGTAACAGGTATGTTTTCTTTTTTGGAAACAAATGGAAGGATATTCCACGCTCATGGATAGGAAGGTTTAATATTGTCAAGATGTCCATACTACCAAAAGCAATCTATAACTTCAATGAAATCTCCATCAAAATTCCAACAGCCTTCTTTGCAGAACTGGAAAAGCCAATCGTTAAATTTATATGGCACTGCAAAGGCCCCAAATAGCTAAAGCAATTTTGAAAAAGATGAACAGTGTAGGAGGACTTTCACTTTCTGATTTCAAAACATATAAATCTACACTAATCAAAAGTCTGATATTGGTATAATCACAGACATATGTATTGACGGAATAGAATTGAGAGTACAGAGTTAAGCTCATGCGTCTGTGGTCAATTAGTCTTCAATAAGTGTGCTAAATTCATCAAATGGGGAAGGAATAGTCTCTTTAATAAATGGTGCTAGAATAACTCAACTTGCACATGCAAAAAATTGGAGTTAAACACATACTCCACACCATATACAAAAACTAACTCAAAATGTATCAAAGACCTAAATGTATGACCTAAATCTTAAAACTTTTAGAAGAAAACATAGGGGCAATAGTTCAGAACCTAGTCTTCAACAATGGATTCTTAGATATGACACCTGATAAAGGGTTAACCTAACCACAGCAGGCCATAACCACTGAAGGCCAACTTGTTTGTCAAAATCTATAGGACTTCAAACAATAAGAAACTACATCAAAGGAGTAGGAGAGAGTGCGCTAACTAGTTCAACGGACTGTGGATGTGCGTACCAGAACTATTTACCCCAGGAAGCGAGTTAAAGATCTATCCAATATCACATGTAGCCTACATAACAAATAAAAAACAACCATTGTATGACAGACCTGGGACCCCTCAGCAAAGAGACCAAATTGTTAGAAAAGAAAGACAAGAAAAGTTCACCCAGTCATTATCTTAGTTCTTTGTCTTTACTTTAACCAATCATAGCCTGTAAGTAATTTACTCATAGGTACATATCCAATGATTGTAAAGGGCATGTTGAAAGACCCTTACTCATAATGAATCAGCACCTGTCAAAACTGTATAAAAAGCACTTATAGAGTATACTTCTTTAGATTTTGGTCTGTTTATAGCCTGAGTGCTTGCAGCCAATTTCCCATTTTTGTTTTCTGATATGTCACAATAAAAATTTCCTTGCTGTAGAAGGCTTTAGTGAAAGCTGTTTCACTACAGCATATTGGAAGCACAAACAACAAAAGTCAAAATAGATACATGGGATCTTATCAAAATTAAAAATGTCTGTATATCAAAGAACTTTATTAACAAAGTTAAGAGACAACTACAGAATGGAAGAAAAAAATTGGGAATGATATATCGGATAAGGGTTTAGTATTCTGAATAGATAAAGAACTCTCCACAACTAACAAGAAAAAGATGAACAACTCAATCAAAAAAATAGGACCTAATAGACATTTCACCAAAGAAGGTTTTACTGAGTTGTACATATGAAAAATATTGAATTGGCAAATGTTATGTTCTTTATCTTTTTACAACAATAAAAATTTTTAAAAGACAAAAACAAAAAAACCTGGAACTAATAAGCAATTATAACAAGGTTGCAGGATACAAGGTTAATATACAAATATCAATTGCTAACCTAGCTTCTTACTGAAAACAACTACATTCTTATGTCCATACAATACATTTTGATTTCAGCAAAAATTAAAGAAAATAAAATTTCACAGCATTTAAAGATATACAGAATGACAACTTGAAAAGCTGAATTAGAAAACTCTTAGGGCAAGGATTTATCTCAAGCAGTCATTCAGAGCTGGGGACACTGAGGACAGTGAAAAGCTTATGAGAGCCATTCCCTATGTGAGTCTAACTAAAACTGCAACCCAGCTCCAATGCGTATCAGCCATTTACTACATCTTCCTAAAAGAAGAAAGGGGACCCTCTGTATTGGAAGATAACAATTACTGAAAGCACCTAGGTTCTTTTGTAAGCATAAATCTGAATAACTGGACAATAATAAAGGCAGAAAAGGATTTTAACAAGGACCATGACAAAGATCATGATAAAAATGTTTATAAAAGAAGAAATGGTAGGTCAAACAGATTAAAATGGAAAATTTCACAAAAGACTAACAATCTTTTAACAAAATACAATGAACAATTGTAAAACTGAAAAAAAAAATCTGATATAAAGAATTCAATAATGAGTTTAGTAGCAAACTGGATACAGGAGTTTCAGAATACAGAATTATCTAACAAGAATATGCGTCAATAGAAAATAGTCAGACAAAATAAAAAACAATACTGGGGTGGGGTGGGGGCAAGAAAGG